TTATTCTTTTTATTTTTTATTTTTTATTTCTTTTATCTTATTTTTTATTTTTTATTTTTTATTTTCTATTTCTTATTTCTTATTTCTTATTTCTTATTTCTTATTTCTTATTTATTTTAGATGGTTCAAAAAGAAAGAAGGCCTCAACCTGCATGCGTATGAGATCAACAACATGGAAGTGTGGAGCAATGAATTTGAGGATCCTTCAGCAATGTCGATTGTTCCAGTCATGCGCATTCACTCTCCTGTTGCTATTAAACTTGATCACCTTCAAGGTATCAATGTTGTTATAAATTTACCAAGGCATTTAATCAATTAGTCTATTCATTTTTATCAAATTAAATATATTATCTGTTGCAAAAAATCGTTATGTCAGTCTTTCAAATGTTCTTTTTTTTTCTTTTCTTTCTTTTTTTTTTTTTTTGAGATGATGTTGGAAAATAGAAATTAACGTGATATCTATATACAAATATATGAAGTCTTTTATTTTTGCTGATGTAGATATTTATGATCGATTAATGCATTCTCAAAGGTAAATTATAAAAAAGATAAAAATATTATATTTATTTAAAAAAAAATTAATTGTAGGCATCTTCATTTTTGGCCCAAGCAGGAAAGGTATCCAAAAGATTGCGTCGAATTGGCACCCTCGTAACGACGATTCTTGTGGGTGTAGACTTGTCCACATTTTTGGAGAGAGTGTCCAGTTTATCGAACAGTTGGTTCAACTTTAAAGGTATTAAAGAAATATTCATTACAGTTAGTTTTTTTTTATATGATTGTATTTTAACTTATATACCTTTTCACTTCTCCAATGTGGACGTAGACTTTTCCAAGTCCTCAACGAGCCCTGATAATGAATGTCATCCTCATCATCAGACATATAAGATGCCTTGATCATTCGGAGACATTCATTATAAGGCACGCCCAATTCTTCCGCAATCCTGGACCCTTCTTTGCTGAACTTTGCCAGTCTTCTTTTACATTTCTATAGAATATAAGGAGAAAGAAGTTAAATTTACTTTATCTTGTATTAAATTTTATGCTAAGTATATACTTACTCTATTTTTCCTGCTTCTAATTATTTCCTTTTTTTTTAGAGCATCTAATTGCTCCTGAGTGCTGATTTCGGCACGCGAATGCTTTCTTTTTTCCGTATCATAGACACTTCTAATGCGTGCCGAAATCTCTTTCCTTGCTCTTTCCCCAGGATTGTTGTTGCCTCTAACCTGGGCAAAGATAAAATCGAAGATCTGCTCGTTATGACCTCCATCTTTTAACGTAGATCTGGGATCAAATCTACGTCCACTTTGCTCGTAAGCATCGTGAATCTTGTCCTATTGATTGAATTGAATAACAGGTATTATATATTTTATTTAATAATGATTGTCATTATAATTACATAATAATAATACTTACGGTCATATCGGGATTCCTACCGATCTTTCTCTGATGATACAGATTTTGATTTTTTAAGTTTGTAATCTCTTCTTCCAACTGAGAGATTCTTTGGCTTTGAGAACCGATCTGCTCTTCAAGCTGATTTATTCTATTATCAGCATTAATATTGTTGCCACCAATAGATGCTGTTTGTCTAGAAGGATGCAAACGAGCAGTGGAAGAAGTGTTAAGAACAATAGGAGGATACTGTGAGCGAGACATGTTAAAAAGGGATTTTACTGGTAAAAAAATTGATTGAATAAAATAAAAAGTAAGTAATTGAAGAATAAATTATTTGTTGGTAAAGGTATTTATATGTTAGCCGTCTAGCATTATCCATTACTGCCAGAAAATTTCCTTTTTCGGACTAAATAAAAAGAAACTACTATATTTCTACGTCAGAGTCGCTTCCTTTTTTTTCTTTTCATTTACCGTTTTTCTTTTATCTTTTTTTTTTCTTTTCTTTTCTTTTATTGTTTTTCTCTTATCTTTTCTTTTTCTTTTCTTTTCTTTTATCATTTTTTTTCTTTACTTTAGATTAATGTTTATTTACTTACAATTATCATATTTTCTATCTATAGATGTTTATTTTGGTTATATTCAACGTAGTACAAAAACATAAAAACATTCTTATCAACGAGTTTAAACTAACTAGGTTTATTTCTTTTTTTTTAAAAAAAAAATAGTTTTATAGCAAAAGAGTCTTGTTTATATTGGTAGTAGCGTTTTCTTCTTTTTATACAGAGCATTTTTCAATGATATGTTAAAGGTAAGATAATAACTATTGTATATAACTCTTGTTCTTTATATTAACACATATACTGACTTGTCTATTATCGTTAATCAAACGCTTTTTAAACAGATAAACAAATGTATATAAAAAGGTAAAATAAAATATAACATTTATCTGTTAATTCCAAAAGTATACTTTCTTTGTCTAATATAAGATATACCAATCTTATCTTTTATTCTCTTTTTTTAGGACTTTTTACTTTTTTTTTTTCAAATAGCTTTTGTCCTTTTTGAAAACCCCTTTTTTCTTTGTTTTCGGTAAGCATTTTATTCTTTTGAATACCAATATTCTTTATTTACTAACTAATCAGTTTTGTTTATTATAGATTGTTTATTTTGCTTCTGTTTAACTGCTATAATTTAGCTTCCTGGACCCCCCTGTCATTATTATCTCTATCCTTTTCTCTTATCCATTTGTCACTATTTGCAGCGTATCTGTACTGTTTCTTTTTAAAGATGCAAAGGTAAGTACAATCGTATTTTCTATTATCAATTGCAAGAAATACCCTTTTTTTTATTATTATTTCAAAAGCAATTTATTATTTGTAATAATTCATTTGCTATATATTTCCATTATTATTATTATTACTATTCTAAATGTAAATAAAGCCACATTTTATCTAAACAAACGATATATTTATTTTTAAATAACGTCCAATAAACAAGGCAATAATAAAAGCCTAATATGTATTAAATGTATTTTATAAGCCAATAAGTAATAAAGATCAAACGTAAATAAACGTTATTTATTCTGCAAAATACCAATGATGGTTCATGGTTTTCAAAGAAATAACCAATCAAATGTAAAAAGTTATACGTTGTATGTATGGAGTACTATACGTCGTACGCGAGTACGCCATATAATACAACATATATGTAGTACGCGAGTACGCCATATAGTACAACATATATGCAGTACGTGAATACGACGTATAGTACGACGTATATATGTAGTACGTTCGTACTGCATATACCAGCGTACTATATGTCGTACTCGCGTACGCCATATAATACTCCATACGTACAACGGACAAATTTTTTGCAGTGAAAAAAATATTGTGGCGAACTGACAAGACACCAGAAATAACCTATCACCAACAGTATGAGTGAGTAGATAAGTGGATTATATCATCTGTTTCCGGAGCAGAAGGTCGCGGGTTCGAGTCCCGTCTCACTTGCAAGATGCCATTTTACTGAATCTTTTAGTATAATTTTAAAAGAAGATAGTACTGTTATTATACACCTTCTTCTTTAATAGTCTATCGTGCTTTTTAAATGAGGAAAACTGTCTGTTGTTGCTATTGCATAAATCATGATATTCAAAAGCTATTATAGTTTTTTTTTTTATGCGTCTTCAATACATACAGGATTATCTTGTGTAACGTCATGACCTAATTATTCATTTAATAAGGGTACATCTTCATCATTCTTCTATTTCTCTTTTACGCGTTAATAGCTCCAAGATTTTACTTATAATGAAGTTGAAAGTACTTTTAGGCCTGCCTTTGTCGACTCTGGTAGGAAGTCTGTATTTACTGCGGCTGTTGGGTTGGGGGACGCCTAACAAATAAGAAGATGTAGTACAAAAGAATGTTATGCTATGACTGGATCCACAAACTACCAGAAAAAGATGGAAAGACTAAAAAAAATGAGGGAGGTATCCCGTCTATAGAATCAGAAATGCCTACGGCCAAGACAAATCAGTCTGAATTATACGACACGAATGTAGAGTATATGCTACGCCACAGACAAGTCTTGTTCAATTTCTATGGCTTTCAGAGAGCAAAAGATCGGCTTTACTTATATCAACAAAGGCAAAAAGCGGCGCAAATCATGGTCAATATGATAATAAACGGTGGCAAGAAGTATGACTGAAAGCAAAGGAAAAAAAAAATAGCTCATGTGTTCTCGGAATGACTGTGGCCAAATAAGCCAACAGATTTTATTTATATTTTTTTCACGTTAATTGACGTATTTCATAATATAGAGTAAAACGGAGGCCCGCAAAATTTAGTCAAGGTCCCGCTAATAGTTTTTTGGAGTAGGCATGTTTGGAAAAGATGGCATAAATCTTGAAGGAAACAAATACGGTGCTACTGGTGTTCTGTGGAGGGCGATTAAGAGAAGGGAGAAAGAAGGTGATCTTTTGGCGATAACTATTGATGAGTTCAAGACATCAAAAATATGCTACAAATACTACGATGATTCGCTCAAAAAGGTAGAAGATATGAAAGGTTCCAGTGTTCTTGCTTGCAAAAACTGTTGAACACTATGGCAAAGGGATCACAATGCTGCTAAGAATATGTCGCTCATTTCGTCATACATCTGGAATGGCTACAATCGTCCGAATTTGAAGTGTAAAAACTGTATGTGAATGGCCAGAAGGAGATAAAGAAAAGTGATCTGTTACAAATGTAATTCGTATTTATAGATTAAAGTAATTGTTGTACCTTCTTCTTATTACGTAATAACTCCGATCAGCATCATTTTTTATGCCACTGGTTTTTTTTTTTCTTTCTTTCTTTCTTTCCTTTCTTTTTTCATCTTTTCTTTGATCTCTTTCTATGCCACAACAATATAATCTGTCCTCTTCCAGCTTATTAAATAGTAATAAAGAAGAGAAAAAGGTATTCTATTCTATTTTATAATTGTCTTTTTTTTTTTGCTGGTTAGTAGTTATTTGTTAATAATGACTGCCTATAGACATTACCCTATTTTTATCAATCCGAATTACCTCCTACACCTTCTTCTTCTAATTTCTCACTTTGCTCTAATAATGAAGACTGTTATGATCCATTATCAAAAGGTTTAATAATAGAATGAGCATGTCTTTGCGTGTTCTTAACATTTCATCTATTAGACAAATCATCTTTATCAATGATAATTCATAATTATGGTACAATATCATCAGGTATTGTTTGCCGCACTATAAATCGATTCATTATTAAATATCTTATATTAGTCAATTCAGTTGATGAAGATGATGAAGGACTTTATTTATCCTGGACACATCAATTATTAAGAGAAAATGGATATAAACCTTCTTCATGTAAATTACAAGATGATGACGATGATAGTAGCATGAATAGTAGTGTTACAAACATTTCAATACAAAAAAATATTAAAAGCAATAATTGGTTATTTTCATGCTTTTGTTAATAAATATTGCGTATATGTTTATACACATAACAATATTTAATTATCTTTCTTTATTATTTGAATGGCTTAATAGAAGAAACCAAGGATCTTACCACCAGCGTGCTTTTGACGGGCTTCTTCATGATCCATGATACCAGCAGAAGTGGTCAAGATAAGGTAACCGAATTGACGAGCAGGCAACAAGTTAGCTGTCCACTTTTCGAGTTCAGTAAGCTTAATGTTGAAACGAGGAGAGATAACACCACACTTGTTAATACGGCCGAGAAGTTGAACGACAATCTTACCAGAACGGTGATCATCAATTTCTTCGAATTCACCAATATAACCTATAATATATGTATTTATATAATTAGTCATCCAGATAATCACCTTAATGTATGTATGTGTGTATATATTGAATTATATATAGAGAAAGAAAGAATGTATCGCTTCTATAAACAATACTCGATACGGTAAAAATCGAGTAAAGTGTAAGAGAATGACATTTAATCTACCGTAGATTTAAAGGTCGAAATCTGTTGCAAAAAAAAAATAAAATTTCAACTAGTTATACTACGGAATATATTGAACTATATATTCTTTCTTTCTCTCTCTACATACAATCCAATACCTTCTATACTTTACCGTGCTTTTGCATGACGGACAAGAACTTGATGATGACCTTGGAAGAAGGACGGATCATGACTTGTCTCTTACCACGCTTTTCAGCGTTGTTAATGTTGTTCAAACAATCGTTCAAGACGGAAACTCTGACCATGTTTAAAAATGCAAAAAGTCTAAATTAAAGGAGTAATTGTCAGTTTCACCATTATATAATTGTATACTCCATTTATTCATTCAAAGGAGAAAAATTCTTCTATTTGTAGATAGCAAAACTTCTTCTACTTCTTAAGTAGTTGAGTAATATATGAATGAATGAATGAATAGATGGATGGATGGATGGATGGATGGATGGGTCACTATTTTACTTTACCTATTGCGAAGAAGAGGGGGATCACAATTAGACAGCTGCTGTAGATAAAATTATATCATTGGATTTTTTTTTTTCCTTCTTCCATTAAGCGGAATTTTAATGCTTACTTACTATCTAAGCCACTTTTTGAACTATTGTAACTACTCTATTACTGGGATCAACAAATACGTTATTTCTCTTCTCCCATACTGTTATAAAATATCTTGAATATCCCCCTTTTTTTTATCATTTAAAAAAATGTATATTAGTTATCTGGATATTTCAAAGACGTTATAAAACTTCTAATGAACAAATAGTAACTAACTAATAAATTTTGAAAGCAATTCTCTCGTTTATATATATGTATATGTATGTGTATTTTAGAGGAAGAGCAATTGATTATAAGTAGTATAAGACTTATACCTGCCATTGTGGCGATGGAAAAAAAAATAACCTCAATCAATGGTCCCTTTCTATGCCTAAAATCTATAATACATAAAATCATTAGTTAATATTGAGAATTATATATTCCATACAGTTATAGCTTGCGACCCCTGAAACTAGTAATACCCTACGGTGAATTATTTTGATGTGCTCATTTTTATTAATTCCCTGATACTTATTTTGAAAAGTAATAGATATATAAGTTCCAAGAAAATAGCTATTGCTATTTTTTAATATTGAATTTAATACTATAGTTTGAAACGTATGCACAATGATTTCGCCTTTCCCCTCCCCTCCCCCTCATATTGCTCGTACGTGGATGAATATGTGAAAAGAAATATTTCAGATAGATATTTCATTTCCAATAATATATGTCTGTGGAGAGGGGAAAGTGCTAACGAATTTCACAATAATAAACTAACGATATTAATTAGCCAGTTTGAATAATACAATTGATCTATATGAGATACATAGGCTCCTATTAATTCATGAGTTAGATTAATATTGGCTCTTAGGTAACTATATATACTAATTTGGATATAAGCAGCTACGTCAAAAATAGATATAGCTAATTAAAGATCATATATTAACAAATTTAGCCATTTGATTGATCCATGTTGATAAATAATGCAGAGGACAACTACCATACAAAATATTCAAAGATTATTGCTGAATACTAGAAGAATAGACTCTAGATAATGAAGAACAAATTCCAATCATAGCCAATAATACTAAGATGTTTAAATATAGTGTTATGATTGCAGTTATCTTTATAACCAAGTTAATAGTAATAAGCTATCATTTATTACATAATAATAATAATAGAAAGGATACTCATATAATAAAGCTGGTATAGTATACTTTACAGCATACTGTATACTTTACACTTGGTTTTAATAGTAGAGTCATTGTTAGAGTATTCGAGTATGAGAATAATTGTATATACTGTACTATGCGATAAGAGTAAGAATTCATCAATAGGGTTATATTCAACTACATAATTATTTGTAGTGTAGTCATATAATATATTACACACAACATCTATAAGGTTGAACATTATTATGTAATACCATTTCATATGATAATGATAATACTAATAATACTAATAATACTAATAATACTAATAGTAACATATGTATAATTGGTATTATTAATATCACTTATCTTGTAGAAGCATATAAATAACCTTCTTCATTTTCTATACTATCTTTTTTGTTTTTATATACCATACCATTCCATACCATTGTGTACTAGAAAGCAGCTAACATTGCAGTGTTAACTGAACAGCAGAAAAAGTGTTTGTTAAAGTTTAGATGCATTAGCAACAAAAAAGGCACAATTATAATTCATTTCAGCGCAACTTTTTTTTTATGAACACATTTACTATTGAAGAAACATGTTTTTTTTAAAAAAAATAAATAAAAATAATTAAAGATTAAAGAAAAAACATATATTTTAGATATAGATATAAAGCAAAGCGAGTGTATAAATTTATTTACATAAAGGCGTTGTATTATTAGGATAAAATTAAGTTCTAAAAAAAAAAAAAAAAAATAAAAAAAATATACATATATTATGTGTATAACATAGTAAAATGCAATAATGATACTAGCGTATCAAAAATAATATATAAAAATTAATTATAATAAAATCTAAAAGAAAAATATGATATATGTGTGTAATAAAGTAAAAAAAAAAGAGAGAGAGAGAGAAAATAAAAAAAATGAATTAAGAAGCACTCTTTGATCTTGCACGAATGTTAGCGCCCCATTTGTAGAAAGCAAAAGGAATTGGTAAAATAGCAAGAGAAATAAATGCAAGTAATGTACCAGCCCATTCGTTATTCAAACGAGCATACATTTGATTAATGAAAAGTGGGAAGGCAGCACCAGAACCAGAACGAATTAAAGTCTTTGCAGCCAATGCAGATGTGACATAACGAGGGAAACAATCAATGATATAATTGTTAGCAGAATAGTACACAATAACCATACCAAAACCGAAAGGAACACCAGACATAACAGGACCAATCCAAGCAATCCAAGGATATGAAGTCCAAGCGAAAATAAAAAGAGAGATGGGTACAAAAGGTGCAGCAAACATCATACCAGGTAAACGATCTTCAGGATCGGGTGAGCCATTCTTATCGTGCACAACTTTTCTAAACCTCTTTTCAAATTGAGGTGTTACCATCAAAGCAAAGAAAGTACCAACAATGATACCGAGGAAAGTCAAACCGATTTCACCATCATTCATACCGTGTTGAGCAAATACAATAGGATATGCAAAGAAGAAAGCATACAATAAAGCATAAATGACAGCAATATACAAGGACATCAAAGTCAAAATAGGTTCAGTAAAAATCATAATGAAAGGACGAATCAAGTTAGCTTGAACTAATTCAGAGATAGGCACAGGGAATTCTTCTTCAACAGTTACAAAAGTTGGATCACCGGTTTCTGCTCTAATACGTTTAGCACGTCTAGCAAGAAGGACAGGATGGTATGTTTCAGGTAAACAACAGATAATAATCCACATAACACCAGCAAAAATCATATTAACCTATTAAAATTTAGTTATTAGTTCCATAATTATAATAATAAAAAAAATAAGATAAACATACCCAATAAATCCATCTCCAATTTTGAGTACCAACAGAAATCCAGCCGCCTACAATAGGACCTAAAACAGGACCAGCATAAGGAGCAGCAGCGAAATAAGCAATAGCATTACCACGGGTCTCAGTAGGGAAAAGATCAGAAATAGAACCACCAGCAAGGGTTAAACAACATGAAGCAAAGAAACCAGAGAAGAATCGACAGACTAATACAGTTTGAATATTCTTAGCAACCGCACAAGGAATATTAAAGATGGTATATATGCCAAGAGCGACTACATAAACAGGCTTACGGCCAAAAAGTTCTGATAAAGGAGACCAAAGAAGAGGACCCAACATGAAACCGAAAACCATAAGAGAAACCTGTAAAATAGCAACTTCATCTGTACAACCAAAGGACTCAACGACACCATTTAATCGACCTGTAATAACAGAGGAACCAAAGGCTGCAGAAACAACAAGACCAGCAACTACAATAGTATACATCCAACGGAATTTAGAATCCCAGTTATAAGGACATTCTGGATCATTTTCATCCCAATTCACATAGTGTATTATAGGATGCTTTTCAGATTGTTGAGTCATAATACGAGAATTTACTATTTCAAGTTCAGTATTTTTTGAAGAGTAACGATTAATAGATAAAGTACGAGTAGCAAGGATACCAGGAGGCATCTGCTCACGAATTTGTTCACGATATGAAGTGACTTCTTGAAGAGGAATTGGTTCATTAATTACAAATGTATCATGCACTGTACTGGAGTCGCTCACATTTGAATTTCTATGCTCCTTTTTACCAGCTTCAAGTTCATTAGGAGTTATTTTTGGTTCTGACATGATAAGCAGATAATATATGAGTTATGTAATAGTATCTAATAAGTTGAAAAATATATTTCTATTTTCTCTAAAAATATGTAATGTTGTTATATGAGTCAATTAAAAAAAAAATATATATATATAAAGGTTTATGTACAATTAAAGGAAAAAAAAAGAAGATATTATATTCGAAGAAAATAAAAAATAAAAAAAAAATGAAATTGGATACATGTATTTATATAAATCAAAAATAACATCTTTTAGGCGTATTAAAAAAAAATATTTTGATATGGTTGATCTTGGTTCACAATCACCCCGTCAGAGCGGTCTAGCATTTATCCGCCATAAATCAAATCAAAAAAAAAAAAAAGTTTTCAATTGTCAAGTATTAAAATTTTAAAACCAAATATAACTCAGTATTTTATCTCACCGCGTACATCGCCTATACATTTTGACGTCCATAGTAATATTAAAAAAAAAAGATTACATGGTATTATGGACACTTTCTTTTTATTTCTTAAAGAGAAAAAAAATCGGATATTTGCAAAATTCTATTAAAATGAAAATGAGAAAAATCAAGCAAAATAATGAAGTGTATGTTGCAATGAAACAATAAAAGATAAAATGTGTAGGTTAAGAAAGGATCGTCATATGACACAAACGATTCTATTATGATTGGATCTTAAATAAAATATTAAAGTTTAACCAATAAACCAGTTTGAAAAAAAAAAATCGAAAAAGTGGAGGAAACAGTCTCGGAGCGGAGAAGATATGATGTTATAAAAATCCTGCGTAAATAACAACATAGTAAAGAAGCGGAGCTATACGGTTAAAGGTTATTATGCAAGTCGATCCATGATATATCTATAAATGAAAGTATGGCGTACAAGCTATTAATTTAAGACTATATATTAAATAATAAAGGCGTTATGCATCTTATAAAATCCAATATATTCAACTATCGTTATATTTAACTTGGTTTTTTAATATCTTTTTTAGCTTCCAAAGAAACTGTTAATCAAACGTAGAATCTCCGATTTTGAATATAATGTGATGATTCCTTAATGGATATGATACAAAATGAAAATAAATGGTAAACACAAACAAATATATTAAACAAAAGAACTTTCTTTTGTATTTTTTTTTTTATATATATATATATATATAACTGTACCTTTTGTTTCATAGATTTATAACATATTTAATACTTGAAACAACCCTTATTACGATAAAGAAGGAAACTTATTATATCCAAAAATAATAAATAGCAGTAATAAGAGAATATGACATGGATATTTATTAGCAATTTTACCTGAGAAATGAGTATCTACTATTTAAGAATTGTTTGGATTTAATACATATTACTTTATTACAAAAATTATATACGATTGGATACTAATCTTATATACTCATAATCTACTAACAAAAGAGCTGCTCAGCTAAAAATAGGTTAAACAACTTCGAGAAAAAAAAAACTATTTTAAAGAATCCATAAATGATTACAGAGTTAATATAAACAAAAATAAAAGGATTCTTGGCACACAGTAATTTGCATAAAGGAGTAACAATGAAAAAGCTTTTGTTTTATATATATAAACTACGGATAAGAAAGAAAAATCGAAATTATAATTATGACATACGATACTACTTTTACTGACATAGTAATGTAACTAACCGATAAATATTTATCCTCTTTCATATCATAGTTACATATTTGCCTTTGTTACACTAATCTCCTTGATCTTGTGTTACCTAACTGTAAAAAAAAAAGGCATAAGATATATGTCTATGAGGTAATTCATTAGAAGAAGATTTAATAAGAAGAAAAAGGTACAAAAAAGCCTTCTATTTCTCAATTAAAAAAAAAGGAGATATACTGAACTTCAAAATCTTTTTTTTTTCTTCGGTTTTTTTTTTTTATTATTATTTATTTATTTATTTATAGCTGCTATTATTACATTTATTTGTTAAAAAAAAATTCCAATTTATATAGTATGTTAAGCAATGTCAATGTATGATATATCTTTTGTATGTATACTGTTATTATATAGATTATGGATATAGGCGCATTATTAAAACACCATATATATATGCTACTCTGTTCCTTTATTACTATCTTAGATATGTGTTGTATAAATCAAATAATTATTTACCATTTTCTTTTTTTTCTTTTTTTTCGGAGATTTCTAAAAATGTAGCCACACTACGGCTAAAGGAAAAGTTTCGGGAAAGTTCGCTTCTTAAACATCTTGATGATTTGCTACTTCCCTTTTTTCTATTATTTCAAAAAAAGAATTATTCTAGAACTATCGATTATGTTCACATGCAACCCTTCTTTTTTAAAGAAAAAAAAACATAAAGGCAGATATTTTCCTTATTTAGAAATATTTCTTTCTATGCTGAATTTGTTACTTAGCACTGATAGTATATAGATAAAGAGGATATATTGCACTATTTAATATTTTATGCCTGATATTATTTTATGAAATGTATTAGTTTATATCTAGCAGTAGGCTTAAGAGGGAAAAAAAGACTACTTTAAGAATAAACTTGGATTATTAGAGTCATAAATGTTTGCATTTTCTTTGAGTGGTAGATTTTAAGTCTCTAAGTGTAACCCTTTTTTTATTATTATTGCATAAGCTTCTATTTGCATCTATTTTTATATCAAAATAATCAGAAGACAAATATTAATCAATTAGAATCAAATAACGACTAGAAGAAATGACCTTCTATTAAGCTTTTATTTATATATTATATATCTTTATAAACTAGTAATCACATCATATCTTATTATATAAAATTATACTAGAACAAGTCATAAAAGATTTAAAGAAATTGGTATGTATATTTAACTATCATTGAATAATAGTTGATATTTTGATTTATATCAATCGCAAATATTGATATAGTGTCACTATGTAGGTATTATTAGCCTTTAAATATCAGCATTAAATTCCTCATTTGAAATAGATTAATATACAGATTTTGTTTTTTTTATTATGTTTCTATATATTAACTACTTTATATAGTTTTACAGTTACAATAGACATTACTTTTTTTTTTGTAAAACTATATTTTCTAGTTTAATATCTTCAATAAAGTAAGAATAAGCAAAGAGTTTATAATAAAGAATATTAGAATTTATTTAATCTAATATGTTTACATAACCTTAATATAAATATCTACATGCACAAATAAACATATAATAATGAGTAAAGAATCCATTAAATAATTTGTAGAAGGGTATAAGATCAAATTAGATTAAGCTGTATTAAGAATCTCAAAATTAATAATAGGAATAAAAATAGTTATTTGAAATGAATAAATACCCAGTATCAAGAACTAAGCTTTGATTTGTGTTCATATTTATGCCTATACCGACACTTAACAAAGCATATTTAATAAATTATGGCATTTGAAAGTATAAAAATGTCTTTTAAATTAATAAAGAGTAGAGATGATTTTAATTAATTTTCAAAAATCATATATTTTTTGATTGGCAAAAAGATAAAGAAAGAGAATATATAAAAACAAAAAAGACAAGTCTGCGGAAACTTTATATAGTTTATTAAAGAATTGATATTACAAAGACTGTACCCTGAAAAAAAAAGATAGTATAGAAAATGAAGAAGGTTATTTATATGCTTCTACAAGATAAGTGATATTAATAATACCAATTATACATATGTTACTATTAGTATTATTAGTATTATTAGTATTATTAGTATTATCATTATCATATGAAATGGTATTACATAATAATGTTCAACCTTATAGATGTTGTGTGTAATATATTATATGACTACACTACAAATAATTATGTAGTTGAATATAACCCTATTGATGAATTCTTACTCTTATCGCATAGTACAGTATATACAATTATTCTCATACTCGAATACTCTAACAATGACTCTACTATTAAAACCAAGTGTAAAATATACAGTATGCTGTAAAGTATACTATACCAGCTTTATTATATGAGTATCCTTTCTATTATTATTATTATGTAATAAATGATAGCTTATTACTATTAACTTGGTTATAAAGATAACTGCAATCATAACACTATATTTAAACAGTAGTCAGCTAGTTTTTCGGTTGGTTGTACTGACCTATAAAAGTTCGAGCTTGGAGGACTGAATCAGCAGTAATGTTTGTTTGTAGTAGTACTAAAAATACTTTCTTAGCCAGCGGTAATGAAGAGGAGCAGGTTTCTGATGTACAATATTGTACGTGATTGTATTGTAATGCTTTACTAGTTAATTCAGTTGGCTTATGATCGACTTACTACACTTTGGTTTCACTTCACCAACAATTTCCAAATCTTTGCTACATTTTAGTTTTTATTGTGGATTTCTTTTTTTTTAGGAAATCTTGTTAGGCAGAAGATGTTAACTACATCAAATCGCTCAGGTCAGTTCAAAGAATGAAATGGGAAGCTAGTCTCCTTTAATATCAAGAATCTTTAAAGAAAAAGTAAATGAAGGAAGGAAAAATAAAAAAGAAAAGAGCTTTACTAGTAACATTACTAATAAGAGGGGGAAAAAAACCCAGTTAAGAAGTCTCTGCCATGATTGTAATAATAGTGAAGGTAAAATAATTAATCTAGTCTTTTCGGATCAGTGCAAATGACTAGTTAGTATGCAAACCAAAATAAGATATTGAATTAGGAATTAGACTCATGCGTGGAAAGCTTTTTTTATAAGAAAAGATTAAGGGTTCATGATCTATTCTGATGTATTTTAGAATAAAAATGTATCTGAAGGCAATAGCCAGACTCTAATTATTACATTTTATCATTAATAATGATCAAATCAATCATGTTTAGAGACCTACATAGCTTTGCTTTCAGACTAAGAACGCTCTGTGTTGTTAAGGTATCTATTTATCCACTATATCATTTCAAATTTATTATACTTGTAACAATATATATATATATATTCACGAAGAAATTCACAAAATGAAAAAATAACATTAGTATAGTAAGCTATATACTTTAAAATAGAGACATTAATGAAAGCAAAAGGAAGGCTATCGATTGCTACGACAGGAATCATTGTAAAGCATACAAGTCCGCCTTTTGAGATGACTTAGGCATTCAGAAAATAATTTAAATTTTTCTAGTTCTGTTCAAACAACTAACTTTTCTTCCTTGTTCTTATTCCTCTTTGTCTACTTTAACTTTTCATGTTAGATTAAAGATGGGTACGCTATATAGAATTTAGCTATCCATTACTGTATATATTTTCATGCTCCGATATGGACGTCATTCATCTAAATGTGGGGATTGTCTAAGTCAACCCAACTGGGGTAAACAATAAAAATTAAGCTTAAGATATTCGTAGTTAAATAACCTCCTTTATTTGTTTTTACTTTTCTTTTCTAATTATAAGGCAAACCCATCCCCCCCTCTCTTATTTATTTAATTCCTCTTCATCCTCTTTTATATTTTACGTAATCGGTCGATGTTAAGAACAATTACAGTAAAGCGTGGTAAATACAAGTTAGAAGTTGAATGATGTGAATAATAATAATAATAATAATAATAATAAACTCACACTGTTTGTTTAATATAAAGCTGTATCTAAGTTAGCTCATCAGCACATTAAAGCTATTCCCATCACAGCTCGTACTTTTGCTACAGAAGCAGCTCCTAACCCAAATGCAAATCCAATCACTGGTAAAACTACTTTTGGTGGTCTCAGTGATGAAGATCGTATTTTCACTAATGTTTATTCAAAGCACGACTTTCGCTTAAAAGGAGCTTTAAAACGTGGCGATTGGTATAAAACTAAAGAAATTATACTTAAAGGTCATGAATGGATTCTTAAGGAAATGAAAGAATCTGGCCTTCGTGGTCGAGGCGGTGCTGGTTTTCCTACAGGCCTTAAATGGAGCTTTATGAATAAGCCTTCAGATGGGCGGTAAGAAAAAAAATAACTATGAATACATTGCTTTTATATATATATATAACCAACTCTTTTTCTTTTGTAATTCAGTCCTCGCTATCTTGTTATTAATGCTGATGAAGGTGAACCTGGTACTTGTAAAGATCGTGAAATTCTTCGTGGTGATCCACATAAATTAGTTGAGGGCTGTCTTTTAGCTGGCTCTGCAATGAAAGCCAATGCTGGTATGATATAAAAAAAGGCAACATCAAAAAAGTTTTTTGTAACATTTTTTTTTAATGTGGAATAGCTTATATTTATATTCGTGGAGAATTTTATCAGGAAGCTAATCATCTTCAAATTGCTATTGATGAAGCATATAAAGCAGGATTGATTGGTAAAAATGCATGTGGATCAGGTTACGACTTTGATGTTTATATTCATCGTGGTGCTGGTGCTTATATTTGTGGTGAAGAAACAAGTTTAATCGAATCCATTGAAGGCAAACAAGGAAAGCCTAGATTGAAGCCACCATTCCCTGCAGATGTTGGTCTTTTCGGTTGCCCTACAACTGTCACTAATGTTGAAACTGTTGCCGTCGCCCCTACTATCTTAAGACGGTAAATAAAAATAGAAGAATGAATAATACTATACTATTGTTTATTAATTTTTATTGCTATTAGTGGTGGTTCTTGGTTTGCCAGCTTTGGACGTCCTCGTAATTCTGGTACAAAGCTTTTCTGTATATCTGGTCATGTCGAACATCCTGCAACTGTAGAAGAAGAAATGAGTATCCCATTGAAAGAATTAATCGAAAAACATTGTGGTGGTGTTCGTGGTGGTTGGGATAATTTATTAGGTATTATTCCTGGTGGTTGTTCCGTTCCTGTACTGCCTAAGGATATTTGTGAAGACGTTTTGTAAGCTTTTTTTTTATATATAACACTTTTGATATGTACTTTATAGAACAAAATATAACGTTTAAAATAGAATGGATTTTGATGCTCTTCGTGATGTTAACTCTGGCCTTGGTACTGGTAAGTAACAAATTTATATATTTACCGTATTCATATTAAATTTAATTAAACTTTTTTTAATTTTTTATAGCTGGTAAGATTTATTTCCAACTTATTTTACAATATAGTCGACTTCATTTTTTTTTAATTAGCTGTTATTGTCATGGACAAGTCCACAGACATTGTTCACGCTATTTCAAGATTTTCAAAGTTTTATCGTCATGAGTCCTGCGGTCAATGTACACCTTGTAGAGAAGGTACAAAATGGCTTGAGTCAATGATGGATCGTTTTGAAGTTGGTCGTGCTAAGAAAGAAGAAATTGATCAAATTTGGGAATTAACAAAGCAAATTGAAGGCCATACTATTTGTGCTTTAGGTGATGCTGCTGGTAAGTTATTGTAATTTATATATTTTATTTATATATTAATAACTTGTTCCCTTTGTAACTTTTTGTATGTTATACAGCTTGGCCAGTGCAAGGTAATATTTCATTATAATAACAATTATTAAAATATTTAAGCTAATTTCAAATTTTCCTTTAGGTCTTATTCGTCATTTCCGACCAGAATTAGAAGCAAGAATGGAAAAACATAATCTTAGTATGCCAAATTAATAAATTTGGTATAGATTTTATCTTCTAAAAACTGTTAATATTTATAAATGTAATAAAAGTAACTTAGAAAAATCATTTGGTGATTTTCACTTTATTTCCCTTGATCGATCTTAATAAAACTACGGGGGAGTTTTTTTTTTTTTTTTTTTTTTTTTTTTTTTTTTTTTGATATACACGAAGTTTTAATTTTGCATAAAATATTACACAAAGGTTAATTTAGTTGCTGTCTTCAAATGAAAAGGAAGAAAATATAGATGTCGTGTAAAGTTTCGTTTCTTTTTTGTTATATATATACATATATTATAGTTATTGGTAACAGCTCCTTCAACTTATCAAGCAAGGAAAAGCTGTCTGTTGCAATTAAACAAATCATAGAAGCCAACCTTTCTCAGTATAATAATTTCATTTTCTTAATATCTACTTCAATGTATAAATGTGATTCAAATAAACTATTATTATTATGAATAAAGTAAACATCTAACACAATAATGTAACGATATATTGATTAAATATAAAAATATATGTATAAGTTAGGAAACATTGTCTTCACTTTCCTACTACGAATAATATCTGTAGTACCAGATTTTGTAGTAATATTTATAAAAGTAAATATGTATTGCTAAAGCGTGCGTAGTATTTACTATTGAAAAGGACGATGAATATTAATAATGATCCTAAGAAGCAATATTTATGTAATTTAAGATAATGCTTAATAACAGTTCTATTGCCAAAACTATTATTATACGAAATTTAAATAAGCGTAGCAACCAATTAACTTTGTATTGTTCTATAGTATAACCTTTTCCTCCTACATAAATAAATATCTATATAAATTAATATCGTATTGATTTCACAAATAAATACAGTCTCATTAACGATATGGCTATCTAATCGTCAGACCTGCGACACTATGTGCCTACTATAACGGAGTATGACAAGAAAAAACTGACACTTTCGCGCCTGACCTTGTAGTAACAATATTTATGTAAGATTTATAAGTAATTTTGTCGCAAGTTCAATAGGTAAGTTATAAACATATACATTTATACGAACTGAATTAAATGGAACAAGAAGATGTGCACTATTGAATATATTAATTTAAAAAAGCGCTTGATACAGTATTATGTAACGGCTATAACAAAATTAAAATAGATATTCCGAGCTGGAAAAAATGTACCCACTAGGGGGGTCGAACCCCTAATCTTCCGTTTAGAAGACGGATGCCTTATCCAATTAGGCCAAGCGGGCTTTTCATTTATTGAAATTTTACAATATAGATAAGTTTATATTACCAAAAATCTGCCGAAGACGGTCACGTGATACGCCGGACAAGTCCGGTAATTTATTCATTTTTTTTTTTTGTTTTTTATATTCTATCCATAGTGTGATGGTATCAATTATATTTAAAAATGAAAGAAGTAGAATATGAAAAGAGAAAGAAGACAAAAAAGGAGTATTGCTTGAGACTGTTTATTTAATATAAAAAGAATAATAATTAAGAAAATGATTAAAAGATAAATATTATTTCGCGTCTAAACAGCTACTTGTATTATAATTAAAGGATCTTAAATCAAAGAAATAAAAACAACTATAAAAGAACATGAGTCATGAAAGAATGTTAGTATATAAACATACATCTTACTAATTCAAGGTACTGCTTTATGGATTATCTTTTGGGTATTACAAGTATATAATGATCTGACTTAAGATTTAAATTGTTTGATTTGAGTATAAGTTCCTGTTATCTTTTATATTGGATCAAAGGTGAACTATATAAAGGTTATAAAAAAATAAATATTTAGAACTGATACGATATCTTATAGTTGTTGACACGTCTAAATAATTAGATGTCAATAAGTTTTATATCATTTATAAGATGTTAAATACTATGATATTTCTTTTAAAATATCAAATAAAAAATATTAGAAAATAATATTAAGACAAAAAGAGTCAAGGAGAGCAAACAATAGTTCTAAAGTCAATCATTTTTATTTAGGTATTTATTTATAAGAATTGTTAAAGAGGTCTGAGGATAAGATGTGAATCAGAAAAGTGTTAGTTACGACCGAATAAGGTATGTTGTTGACAATGAAGTGTTAGTGATTTTAATATTATTAGATGGAGCGGATCAAGAGAGAGTTAGGATAGAATTTCTTAAATGAATTTATGATCCGCATGTTTAACCATGAAACATGACATTATAAGTCAGCTTATGACATATACAGTATGATGTGATGTTTACTTTATGTACAGGTTTATAGTTTATCCTTTATTACGTAATTCATCTTTTATAACATTACTTATGCTCATATCTAGAACTTGTTTTATAACATATGGAATAATTATTAGCATTCAATTATTATCCTATATTTTATATTTAAAAAAAACATATAAACTTGTATCAATAGCATATTAAATTGAAGACGTTATCTTATCTTCCCCTAATTTATTTTGTATTTTTGTATTTAAACTTCTTTATATTTGATGAAGAAGTATATTGATATTTTGATGTATTTGTATTATTACTGCTTTTATTATTGACCTCCTCTTTATTTTAAAATTAAAAAATTTGAATATTAGTTAATTGTCAATTTTAATTTTATTCTATCCTACTGTATGTTTTTTTTTTTTTTTTTTTTTTTTTTTTTTTTTTTTTTTTTTTTTTAGGTTGGTTACTACTAGACTTACGTGTTGTATTATGATGATCTGTCATTAGATGAATTCTTATAATTGTTATGTAAAAATAATATCTTGTATACTTAATTGAATAGATACCTCATTTTCATATATAACTTTGATATAATTTATTTAGCATACGCTTACTATATTAGAGGAGAGAGTTCGTCTTGAAGATATTACTTACATTTTATTCGATAGTTATCAAAGCTAGTTTATAATACATTGTATAAAAAAGATAAAAATTATACATAAAAATAACATTATAGCATACAGGTTTTTCGTCAATGATATCGTTTATCATTATTCAATACAAGAGAAACATTTTATTTTATTTTATTTTTATCATAATGAATATATGATTGAAGAAAATAGTATTTAAAATTTGATAAAGTAGAATGTATTGTATAATTGAGCATTGCTAATCAAAATAACCACACATAGCATTTAACCAATAATACTTCTGTCAATATCATATTGCTACCTTATATTAATTTTTTTTTTATCACACTAGTCTTCTTATAGTATTGTAGTAAGTTTTAGCAAAAGGGCTAATGATGATCACAAAGAATGGTGCCTGAAGAAACTACCCATTGTGTCAAATAACATCATATACTAAAATTAAATAAAGTGGTATCAAAGCTGTAACTTGAGTATTTTGTTTAGGTTGGTTACTCCCATGTCCTTTGGATCAAACATTCCTAATCTATATGATTAAGATATTGATAAAAGACACTTATTATTATTTTTGAATTATCAGAACGTAACTCTAAATAAAAAAAAATATACAATAGATTCTTACATACTTTTACTTTTTGTCTTTTCTTCCTTTACCAATCTAACAGTTTAGTAGAAGAATGCAGATATAAGTAAAAAACATGTATAGATTTACAAAGATTAAAACTGCTGATGAAGACTTTCTTTCCGTATTTAAAAGACGACTCTTTCTTCTTCTTCTTCAAATCTTATCATTCTATCAAACATAGTGCTTTATTCAATAAGAGTTCAAAATTTTTACAAGTAGTACGAAAAATACTTATCTTTAATATGACTAGAAATCATTTTTTATGCAAAATCTATATTTATAACCATATTTACCTATTGAATAAATTCAATATAGTAATTACAATTGTTGTATTCAATAAATATATATGGTATCATTAATACTAATAATTTTCATATCAATAAGGATATTTTCTAAGAAAATTGTATTATTATTACGCATGTAATATGAAAAAATTCACTATTAGCCATACTATCTTCTATATCACTCTTAATATAGAAAATAGCCCATCATTATTATATTAAGGATTTTGACATAAGATGTAAAGCAAATTTATCTATCTATTTATGCACATATACCAGAATACATATTTCTGTATATTTTTAAAATTATTATAAGCATTACGTTATAATTCATAATTTAAGTATGTTTTACAAAAAAAAAAAAAAAAAAAAAAAAAAAATATTTATTTATTTATGTATATATTTATACACATATTTATAAATATATGAACAAATACATATATCTTTGATCACTTGTTCATTAAACTATTTTTTTTTTTTCTAAACTATAAGAACACATAATTAATAAATGGAAGAAACATACAAGGAAGAAAACAAAGTTAATTTATTTGAAATATTCAATGAATGGGCAGAATTATTATCTAAAGAAAATAGTGATCTAACAAAAGATCCAAATTCATTATATAGCAAAATTGGAAATGAAATTAAACAACGCTGCTATGAATTAGAGAAAGCAAATGCTAATGTTAAACAAAACACACCTAATGCTGACAGTAGCACATCCAAAAATGATAATGATAGTAATGCAGAAAAAGATTTTAATCCACCGTTTATGTTTGAATTAAAATGTGACAATACAAGTGTGAGCAGTAATAATAACATGTCACCATTTGAATGTGTATACGATTTTTGTTCAAGCCTAGAAAATTTTTGTAAATCGAAAGCAGCAATAAATAATCGTTGGGACATTGAGAAAGATTGGCATAAATTATTACTAGCTTGTAGTTCTCATAATTATGAAAGGTTTATGTGGATTCATTTAACTTTTCAAGCAGATAAAAATGTAAAACTTGGCTGGAAACAGGTAGTTCGACGATTAATGACAAGATTTGACGATCCACAGAGAATTATATCATTACGTTCAATACTTACTAATTTTCGATATCAACCAGAGTCTGATCCATTGAGATCTATATTTACAGTTAATCATGAATTTTTAAGATTTGCAGATGAATTAGGCGAAGATACAAAAACAATAATTGAAATGTATGTAAACGGCTTACCAGATGTTATAAAATCTATTATCATATCAACTATGCAATTTGATGATAGAACAAATTTTAAATATACATTATTGGACATTCAACAGCGTGCAGCGGTTTTTATTTCAGCAAATAAAAGTAAATTTATTTTTTATTCTAAAAGCGGTCATTTAGCTATTGCGATAGATTACGATAAAATAAATAATAAGGATTGTGAACTTCATCTTCTTGCCAATCACTCAACTATTTCCTGTCCTGATTTAGTGATTATAAGGTATCCGTATATGGAGTTTGCGCCTTTAGCTATTACGACTGCTTTATACGAAACTTCATTAAATCTACCTAATACAATATTACCAGAAGCTATGACCTATAGATCTATTAACCATCAAATAAAAAAAGAAAATCCGAATACTATATCTAACATAAAGAACGATACATCTAATAAACTAATAGGAGTTAATCCACAAAGAAATATACAAAATGATAGTGAGATGACAATGCCACAAACAATAACACAGCAAAATGCAGAATTTACGGAGCAAGAGTCAACAGATAAAAAAAATGAAGAGACTCAGACTCAGGCTCAAGCTCAGGCTCAAGCTCAGGCTCAGGGTCAACACTTATCATATGCGCAAGATTCTACTACAGAAATAGCAGAACAAAACAAAACATTACAAAAAACGAGAAAAAATTTAGCCAGCAAGCTCCTACTCAACAAACAGAAACATCTGCGCAAAAAGTAACTTCAGAAGAAACTGTTGAACAAAACAAACAAAGCGAAAGAGCTGAAAACTTATCAATACAAAAACAAATATTAACTCAAAAATACCATTAGCGACAGATACACAATCTTCTAAAGAGCCACAAGAATATATTGATATGTCTAAAAAGCAAGACTCTTCAATAAACTCTCAAAAACCGCCGGTAGCGGCTACAGCTTCAATATCAAATGAGGAAAGGAGACAAATAATTCCTACTCAACCATCTATACGACGAGATTTGTCATTACCTACAAATACTAAAGTTTCTAATAGTAACCAATATTACTCAAATTCAACAGTGGGCCAAAATAAAAATAACATAGAAGCAGTATATTTTCGAAACTCTTCTTTTAGATCAAATTCTCCTAATAATCATTATCCCAAAAGGCCACTACCGCACTCTAATTCACCTTATTATCATCGACGCTCTTTATCTCCTGAATCGTCACCATATTATCGCCGTCGACTTTCTTCAACATCAGACACTCGTAAATCTAAATCTCCAGAAATAGACTGTATTATTCAAAATAAAGGTACAAATTATGTATCAGATGATCTTCTACTACAAACACAGCCAAGATCAAATATCAATCATAGACTCAATGTGAACACATCCTCAAGGAGACTACATAATGAACCTGACTCTTCACCAAACATATGTCTCTTTTGTGGCTTACTATTTAAACCAGGTCATCTTGCTTACTGCAAAAAAGTCAGATCAAGAAGGAAGTATAAGTATTAATAAATTATAAATAATCATTTTAACTTTTGTAAAAAAAAAAAAAAAAAAAAAAAAAAAGCTTTAGATTATATATGTATATATATGAATAATTTAACTCTTTTCTTCATATTATATAATGATATACTGATAATAAATACAGGGTTAAAATTACAAATATTATATAAAAAATATAGATAGATCGCTTTATTGTGTCCCAAGCATTAAAACATTTTGTGGAAAAAGATTCAGAAATATAGAGCAATAAAACTGTATTAATTATCTTCCTTTTTATCTGATTTAAAATTGAATTTTTATTTTAATCATGATAAACAATTCTTCACGCAAAGCCTATTTGACTTGACCTATACCCATATAACATTTTAAACTATTCGATAGCTGCCTTAAGTACTCTATTGTTTGATTTACACAAACATATATTCCCATGGTAGACTTCACCAGAACTCAAGAGAAATTTAGTATGTCTAGGAAAATATTTATTTATTTATTTTTTATCAAGTAAATGAGATATACTACCAATACAAGGCACATACTCACAATCAATATAATATGGCTCAATATCAACACTAATAAAATATAGCTTGAGACACTCGTTCAATAATAGTTTTTTATAGAGCGTTACCTATGATTGTTATTCAGAGTTAAATGATTTTTATTTATCATTTTGATTTATACATAACTATGTAAGAGTCAATATGGATTTAAGGGTTCAGTTATATATATATATTCTAGGACATACATATTTAAATCTTTGAACATAAAGATAATTCTTCCTTCGTTCATAAACGATATCGATAACCATGTATTTATAAAAGGATGTATTCGCACTTTTGAGATTTTTATTCTAACAGATTTTATTATGCTGAGATCTATTAAAAAGTTGTTAATAAAACTACTTGCTACATTCTCTAAAAAGTTTTCTATAAGCCTATACATAATTATAAATTTCACAACTTACAAGTATTGGTTGCAAATTCTTATTTGCTTTATTAACTCTTTATTTTACTGTAGCTAAATAACTTCAATGCAAAATTATAAACAAAGACTATTTATAAGTTCTTCTTCAGCTTGACAAAAAAAAAAAAAAAAAGGACTCTTACTGACTATTAATGATTTGTATCTTCTATCAGTAGTATAAATCCATTTTAAGACAATTAAATATCAATAGACTATATAGTTTATAAGATACCGTATATACTATAGACTTAGACTGATGTTGTATTCTATTCTTTATGTGTAGGCTTATAGTTACTTATTTATAACATGTAATTCATTTAATTCTTCTACTCAGAATCTATTCTATTCTAAACTAATATTCAGCAGTCTGGTTCCTCTAATGCATATTTATTTAAGAATAAAAAAAAAAAGAAAAAGAAATAATAGTTACTAAATAAATACGATCTTGAAACTATTTCATTACTGGGGCTTTTTTTTTTTTTTTTTTTTTTTTTTTTTTTTTTTTTTTTTGAATACTTTAATCTTGAGGAATTGTCCAAAAAATCAGTATTTCGCCAAAAGGCTACAGCAGTTACTAGGTTGCTTTAATGATGGATTTTTTTTTATTCAATCTTTTTT